TAGCTACACTAAAGAGCTTGACAACTAGTTTGCGGTATTGTAAAGAGAGAGAGCAAGATAGTTATACCGTCATGTCGAGTGAACCAATCAATCACAAGGATGAATACCAATGAAGACCAATCACCTCGGAATCAAATGATGACACAATGATTTTTTACCGAGGTTCACTTGCTTGCCGGCAAGCTAGTCCTCGTTGTGGTGATTCACTCACTTGGAGGTTCACGCGCTAATTGGCATCACACGCCAAACCCTCAATAGGGTGCCGCACAACCAACACAAGATGAGGATCACACAAGCCACGAGCAATTCACTAGAGTATCTTTTGGCTCTCCACCGGGGAAAAGTTAAGAACCCCTCACAATCACCACGATCGGAGCCGGAGACAATCACCAACCTCCGCTCAACGATCCTCGCTGCTCCAAGCCGTCTAGATGGCGGCAACCACTAAGAGTAACAAGCGAACCCCACAGCGAAACACGGACACCAAGTGCCTCTAGATGCAAACACTCAAGCAATGCACTTGGATTCACTCCTAATCTCATAAAGATGATGAATCGATGATTGAGATGAGTGGGAGGGCTTTGGCTAAGCTCACAAGGTTGCTATGTCAATGCCAATGGCCAAGAGAGTGAGCTTGAGCTGGCTATAGGGCTTAAATAGAAGCCCCCATGAAATAGAGCCATTGTACCCCTTCACTGGGTATTGCTTGGGGCGACCGAACGCTCCGGTCAGATCGACCGGACGCAGGACCCCAGCGTCCAGTCGCATGATGCTTGCCACATGTCATCGGCTTCAAATGATGATCGCTCGATCTCAACGGTCATCTGTACATTTAAGTAGTGATCGGACGCGCTACTCAAAGTGACCAGACGCAGGACCAGCGCCGGTCCTTTTGAGACCAGCGTCCACTGACCGGACGCGTCGGTCCAACCAAAACCAGCGTCCGGTCACTTACAGTGACCTCCGTCTTTTCTGTCTAGGGCGCCGGTGAAGTTCCTTACCCTTGCTCAAATGTGCCAACCACCAAGTGTATCACCTTGTGCACATGTGTTAGCATATTTTCACAAATATTTTCAAAGGTGTTAGTAATCCACTAGATCCTAAATGCATATGCAATGAGTTAGAGCATCTAGTGGCACTTTGATAACCGCATTTTGATACGAGTTTCACCCCACTCAATAGTACGACTATCGATCCTAAATGTGATCACACTCACTAAGTGTCTCGATCACCAAAACAAAATAGCTGCTACCATTTATACCTTTGCCTTGAGCCTTTTGTTTTTCTCTTTCTTCTTTTCAAGTCTAAGCACTTGATCATCACCATGGCATCACCATCATCATGTCATGATCTTCATTTGCTTCACCATTTTGAAATGTGCTACATATCTCATGATCACTTGATAAACTAGGTTAGTACTTAGGGTTTCATCAATTCACCAAAACCAAACTAGAGCTTTCAATGGTTGTGGTCGAGGCGCTCTTGCACCGGAGCCGTGATGCGCGGCCTACCACCGTGCGGTGCTTGGTGGACTGATGCGTCCCTGTTGAGCCATACGGAGGGCGAGCGTTGGCTAGCGTCGAGCTCCTATCACCGAGACATCGAGCTCTTAGCCTACTACGTAGCCGCCCGCTCGAGCAGTGTTCAAACCTCACGGTGGGCCCATCGATCCTTGGGCGTCACAGGCTCTGGAAGCCCCCTAAGCATGGCTGCTGCCGCAGCGATGTTCTGGCTTGCTCGTGCGAAGTACGGGAGCGCCTGATCGTCCTCGATGATCCTCCGGTTCACGTCATGGGCCATGGCATGGGTGCGTCCTCCGTCTCCATGGCGCTCGATCTTGCAATCAAGCTCCGTGCGTTCCTGCTCGAGCTAGAGTCGTGCTTCCTCAAGCTCTAGGTGTCGGGCCTTCAGCTGCTCCACCCGTAGGCAAGGTGGGGCTCCTACACCCCCCTCAACCTCGTTGTCAAGGTTGTTGGTCGCGGTAGCCTCCTTCTCGCAGATGCTCTCGACATGTCCCTTAGGGGTACCTATCATGAAGCATTTACGAGAGGGGTGATGGCTCCCCCTGCTCGAGTCAGAGTTAGAGAGTGACTCTGGTTCCTCTGCGAGGAGGTCGTGGAAAGATTCCGCGACGTGTTCGATCACCCCCACGAACTTGTTGCTCACGGGGGACGGAATCATGCGTAGCGCCACAAGGTGGCCAACGGTCTCTACGGTGTTGCGGAGACCGAACGGGAGCACTATCGGGGCGCTCCGGAAGAGGTATTCCGGGGAGAGCGGCTCTCCCCCGGTGAGCTGCGTCATGACTTTGGCGAACGAGAAGGTGAGGTGGCGCAAGTCTTCCCGAGACGGTTGGGGTCCCAAGAAGACGCCAAGCTGACGTTCTAGCCTCCCATAGTCAAAGTCGAGGAGCTGGTCGCTCCTAGGGGCGTGGGCCTCCGGCACATGCAGCCGCAGCCCCTCGAGCGCCTTGGCGATCACGTCGAGGCCAGTGGAGTGGAGGGGTTGGACGACGATGGGCGCTCGCGCCAGCTCTCCCTCCACCGTGACGATGAAGTCTAGGTTCCCGAAGCGCATGTGTGCACCCGGGACCCAGCTGATGTCGTGACTAGCCATCCGAGTCCTGGTGTTGATGTTGAAATGCACAAAAAGCCCTTACCTGGCGCGTCAACTGTCGGTGTTTTGAGTAAGCACTGGCTAGTAAATTTATATATTACGCGTCTGACCCGGATAGTGTGCTAAGAGGACACAATGATTATACTAGATCGGGCCGAATGTCCCTATGTCCAGTTTTGAGCTGCTCGTGTTACTAGCACTGAGTTTGTAGTAGGGGGTTACAAACTGGCGAGAGAGAGAGATAGCTCTCAAGTCTCTGGTGTGATGCGGTATGCTTGTCCGATGAATCGGTGTATGATGAATCGTCGTCCCCCTAGTGGGACGCCCTGCTTTCCCTTTTATAGGCCAAAGGAAAGCAGGGGCTACAGCCGAAGGGAAGAGGAGAAAAGAAAGAGAAATAAGGCTCTTGAAGGTGCGCCGTCCTCCTCTTCGTGTGGGTCCCGCTGATCCTGTAGATCGTGGTGGCAGCGGCGTCGTACCGGGGTCCTGTTGGCCGTTGCAGCTTACGTGCGGGCGTCGTGCGCCATTCTTGTCTTCCATCCCATCCGAGCGGATAGAATGGTCAGAGGGTCCCCTGACAGAAAGCCTTGCAGGGGGTTAGTGGTACAGTGCCAGTCAACTAACGCCGGTTGACTAACGTTGGACGGTGGTCAGGTAGGGAGTTGGCAGCACAGTGACCGCGCGTCCGTCACTGTGGGTGATTGTGAGTTCCCCGGAATGACATGTCAAGGGGACGGGTCCTGCCGAGATGTGACCGCACCCTGCACGATGCCAGAAGTTTGACCTTGAGTGGTTGAAGCGGTTCGAGCCCTACCCTAGGACCACGGCTTTGGTCCGGTAGTAGATCCGATCCCCAAGGATCGGGCGAGGCGGAAATCTCTCCCTAGGAGCTGGGCGAGATGGAATCTGACCCACGGGGGTCGGACGTGGCGAGGCCCTCCCCGTGGGACCAGACGAGGCGTGTCTCGGCCCCTAGGGGTCGGACGAGGCGGAAACCTCGTCCTCGGCGTCGGACGAGGCGTGTCCCGGCCCCTGGGGGTCGGACGAGGCGGAAACCTCGTCCTCGGCATCGGACGAGGCGTGGCCCGGCCCCTGGGGGTCGGACGAGGCGGAAACTTCACCCTCGAAGTCGGACAAGGCCGTAGTTGCGTCTTTAATCATCGGATGAGGCGACGTGACGCTCTTTAATCCTTTGGCTCGGATACCCGGGTATAGATATCTGACAGTGACGATGGCGTGAATCTAGTGATGAGATCCGCCCAAGACCAACAAGGGATTGGCGAGGAAAAACGCTAAGTTCGAGAGGTGGGTAAGAACTGTTTAAGTTTGGGATGTGTGGGCAGGAGCAAGATCCGCCAATGGAAGAAGGGGAGAGAGTGCTCGAGAAAAAGAGGATGGTCAGAAATTAAAAAGCGAGGCGGTGTGGGAGTAGATAAGAATGGAAAGTTGATCAGCGTTACTCGTCTTACATCCAAATGGTTGGATTTTAGTTAGCAAGGAGAAATCTTTCACCCAAGTGCATGGTAGAAAAATCCAAAAAAAAGATATCTATAAATTCACGACAATCATACATTGAATATTTTTTATGCCTAGAAAAGTTAAGTAATCAAACTATATATCCTCGATAGGGTTATGTTTGTTCAGTGCTATAAACCATAATATGACATCTGTTTATGACAAATAAGTCAGATGTGCATACTATGGCAGCATAAACGATAGATTTGCATACAGGGGTTACTGCTAATGATCGAGCAGATGAATACTTGAACAGTGAAACGAAGTGTGACAGAAACATGAGTGGTTGTGTCGCGTGATAATAAAGATAAAAAAGTTATATTATGGATACTTCTAAAACTATATTACTCCCTACATAGCATTAAATGTATTATTAACTACTCACGAATTTTCACTTGGTAGCTAGTATAGTTTGACCCAACCTCCATCATCAATTGGAGGAATAAAATTATTGGGTATACAGTTTAGAGCCTGTTTAGATTATATAGAGGTAAATATTATTCTAAATTAATTGGGTTGGCCAATAATTGGTTAAAATTTTGGCAAAAAAATAGCTCGTTTATTATATTTTCTAAAAAAAACTCGTTTCTTATATGAACTAGGGCGCATGTGGCAAGTTTATATATCACACAATCCGGAGGTTTTACAAAAGTAAGCCCAAAGAAAACAGGCCTTTACTCGACCCATCTCCGCCGCCATGCCATGCTGCTCACTCACTGACAGCCTGCCGCCGGCGCTGGTCTGCCACAGCTCGCCACGGTCGCGAGCGGCGAGAGCGACAGTGCGACAGGCTCGTCAGCCAACAGGAAGCAAGTGCACACTCCCACTCCCGCTCGCCGCGGCCGGTGGTGGCGGCGGCGGCGGCGGCCATGGCGGAGCTGCGGCACTCGACGGCGGCGCGCGCGTCCAACTCCCCCGCCAAGCGCGACTCCGACGCCTCCGCCGCGTCGTCCCCCTTCCTCGCCTCACCCACCACCCACGGCAGCCGCGGCGGCGGCGGCGGCGACGACGACGACGGCAAGGACGCCCACCGCTCGTCCCCTCTCCTCTCACACCACCACCGCCCACCTGCTGACGTCCCCGTTCCGCTCCCTCCTCGCACTCGAGGACCCCAGGTCCCCCGCCGTCTCGTCCTCCTACCGGATCCTGCTTGCCCACCTCGCGCTCCTCCTCGCCGCCGGGATCTTCTGCGTGCCCTTGCTCTGGTCCCGCCTCGTGAGCTCCTGTCCCCTCCCATGTCTTCCCAATGCCATTCAATTGGTGCTCGTCAGGATTCCGATTTGCCACTGACATTCTGTTGATGTTGTTGTTGTTGCCCGTCTGATCCTAGAACACGCCATACTTGTGCCACAAGGAGGGGATCACGCTCCACTGCCCTGAGGTGAAGTGTGCTTCATTGCTCCAAGGGCTTTGGGACTCGTGCTCGCTTCAGGAACATTTGGTCTGAAGATTTTCTGCTTTGGGTGCAGACGAAGGAACCCCCATCTCTATGAGAGAATCCACGTGCTGCCACTACATCTTGGAAGCCCTGTGCAGAGCGACGCAGCTGTGAGCCCTCAGGCGAGTATACCTTTCATGCTTGCTTCTTAAAGAGAAAAAACAGCAATGTAGCATATATTGCATCCCTAATTTATTCATCACCCTGATCACTTTGAGGTCAATAACCTACATTGTGCAAATTTCAATCTCTCAGAACTAGTGTTTATTGATCTGGTGCAAAGACTGAATTTCCTATGTCTCAGGAACTCGTCCAATTGTTATGTGCAGTTTCATGTTAGATGATAGATTTATGAGACAGCACATCTAACATCTGTTTCCTTTCATGACTGGGTCCTGCTAAGTGATGATATCATAAATTTCTATATCATGCAGATGTCCCATCAGTGAATGAAACCTCTGGGTATATTTTTATCCATGCCGAGGGAGGACTAAACCAGCTTCGCATAGCTGTATGTATGCACTTCTGTCCCTCAACCTTGCTCACCTAGTTGTGTGTGAGTGCTAATTGCAATATACAAGCCTAGGTTTGCTTCTTTTCCTGTTAGCGTGGTTGCTGCTCATTGCTCAAGCATAACTATAATAACCCTTCAATATAGGCTTGCTATTTCTTTTGATAATGTTTGTTTTCTGTGACCTGCTAAAGCTGGTTTCAGATGAAATTTCTGTTTTTAAATACAGAATCTGGTTCTCCCTTAGCAGACCTTGCCAGTTTCTTGAGCTTGTCCATTAGCTTTCTAAATGGAATAGGGTTTTAGTCACTTCTCTCAAAAGGAAACAATTCGAATTTCAGTTATCTGTTGTTTTTGCAGATATGTAATGCTGTTGCAATTGCTAAAATAATGAGAGCAACACTTATTTTGCCTGTTCTGAAGCAGGACCAAATTTTGAAAGACCAGTCGTAAGTATTATTTCCTGTTACAGATTCTAATGTATACTTCTTGTCTATTTCCTCGCCGATATTTAATAGGTAATTGTATCATATAAAATCTTGTTAACTAAAGCTTTCCATAAACTGAACATAACTTTTGACTAGAATGTTAAAAATGAACAGATCTGTCTTTCATCAAACCTGCAATCTTGTTTGGGTTGTCAAAACTAAGACAACTATTTTAGGTCTTACTTTCATTGAAACATTTGCTCCAAATATGTGTAATGGAATTTTGTTAGCTTAAACGCCTTGTAACACCGAATGATTTTGCATACTATCATCTATAGATGATTGTATCTGTCATTCTATTTCCGACTGACACATCAAAGTATGCTTCTAGAACTGGAAGTCAGTGCTTCATTTCTCATGTTCTCCTGCGATTGTAGTATTGTCCTGTCATATAATGTCCTTCGATGAGGAAATCTGCTATGATGCTTCAGTGCTTTGGTAGTGAACTAGTGATTACTGGGACAACAAACAAAAAAAATATGTGCTAGTTGATCAGACCAAATGCAGATCAATGTAATTTCACCTGAAAATCCATCACCGTTCTTACATAGTTTAATTTGTAGTTGATAAACAGACAAGAAAGGTAATAAACTATGTTAATTTTGGATGGAAATGTATCCAAACCACTTTATGGATTATACTGATGAGAATCAACAGATAATTGAATCATTTGGCATATTTGAACTAGTTCATGTAGCCACAAGGACAGGAATTCCCAATATCACGCATATTTGGTATGAATGTTTCTTGGTCTCATACTGACCATCGTGTACTGAAGTAAATTCCCTTGAGCACTTTCACATGATATCACCTACTTAAATACACTATTTGCTTTCTGCCAGATTGTCTTGGTTCTTAGAACGTATATCTTCTCTGCAGGAAATTTGAAGACATCTTTGATGTTGATCATTTTATAAATTATTTCAAGGATGATGTACGTATTGTCCGAGATATCCCTGACTGGTTCACAGAGAAGGATGAGCTGTTTACCAGTATAAAGTAGGTGTTTTTTACTCTGTTTTAATTACCTGAAGCTTTCAGAAATTGATATTGCAACATGCAAGATACTATTGGCAATGAAGGATGTATTAATATTTGGGTACTTTATATCATCAGGAAAGTTTATGATTTTGCTGGTATTATCTCAATAGGGTGGGAAATTTAAAGAACCTTCATGTCCCTATATATGACATATATCTCAACTGCCCATGCATTCTTAGCTTTTGTTTTGAACCAGTCTTTCCTTGTTTTCTTTCCACCAAATAAAATCTCGATGAGTTATGACACAACTGTTTGGTTATATCATGTCATTTTTGCAGTCCAGTTTAAAATCAGGCCAATTGAGCAATGTTATCAGGTATAACTGTTTGGTTATATGGTAGTAGGAACCAGGAGGGGGAGGAAGTCTTAGACTTCGCCATAGCTTTTGATCTGATGATAGCTAACACTTTCTTCCGTAAGAGACAGTCCCATTTAGTGACCTTTAGTAGCGGTCAGTACTCTAGTCAAATCGACTTTGTCCTTACAAGAAGGAGGGATAAACGAATATGCGTGGACTGTAAGGTGATACCTGGAGAATGTGTGGTCGCTCAACACAAGCTGGTGGTGGCTGACTTCCGCTTTCTGGTGCAAGCTCGTGGGAACAAACAAGCTAGGGTTGCTAGAACGAAGTGGTGGAAATTAGAAGGGGATGCATCAAAGGTCTTTAAGGAAAAGGTCATTGAAGAGGGCCCTTGGAAAGATGAAGGTGATGCAAACGGCATGTGGGAGAAGATGACAACATGCGTTCGGAAGGTTGCTTCAGAGGTGCTTGGAGTGACCAAAGGGAGCGGATGCGACTCGAAAGACACTTGGTGGTGGAATGAAGATGTGCAAAAGGCTATTAAGGAAAAGGAGTGCTATAAGCGCTTGTGTCATGACAGGTGTGCAAACAACATAGAGAAGTACAAGGTGGTAAAAAAGACTGCAAAATGAGCGGTGAGTGAGGCAAAGGGGCGGGCCTATGAGGACCTTTACCGACGTTTGAGTACGAAGGAAGGAGAGAATGACATTTATAGGATGGGCAGGGCTCGCGATAGGAAGATAAGGGACTTCAACCAAGTCAAGTGCATAAAGGATGAGAGGGAGTAGCTCTTAGTGATGAGGTCAGACATAGATGGTAAGAGTATTTTGATAAATTGTTCAATGGTGAGAACGAGAACACCAGCGTTCAGCTGGACGACTCGTTTGATGACACTAACAGACGCTTTGTGCGGAGGATTCAAGAATCGAAGGTCAGAGAAGCCTTGAAAATGATGAAAGGGGGCAAAGCGATGGGCCCTGATGGTATCCCAATCAAGGTGTGGAGATGTCTCGGGGATATAGCTATAGTATGACTAACCAAGATGTTCAACAATATCTTTCGATCGAACAAGATGCTTGAGGAGTGGAGAAGATGCATATTGGTACCAATCTACAAGAACAAGGGAGATATCCAAAGTTGTACTAATTATCGGGAAATTAAGTTGATGAGCCACACTATTAAGTTATGGAAGAGAGTCATCGAGCTACACCTGCGAGGAACGACGCGGATATCAACAAACCAATTTGTTTCATGCTCGGAAGGTCAACCACAGAAGCAATCTTCTTAATAAGACAGGTTATGGAGCGGTTTAGAGAGCAGAAGAAGGACATCAACTTGGTTTTCATTGACTTGGAGAAGGCTTATGACAAGATACCAAGAAATGTTATGTGGTGGTCTTTGGATAAACATAAAGTACCATCAAATTACGTGATCCTCATCAAGGATATGTACAACAATGTTGTGACTAGTGTTCGAACAAACGATGATAACACAGATTACTTCCTGATTAAAATTGGATTTCATCAAGGGTCGGCCTTAAGCCCGTATGTTGGGTTCATAAACCCAGGGTCCCCGATGGGCCCGCTTCCCAGCAAAAGCTCGGCCCAGCAGACGACATTACAACAACGCATGACTCCTGGGCTGGCCCAGATACCTAACGACAGGCCGGAAGAGCGATCCAGTCTCCGATCGGAAGGCCTGACTAAGGAGGGGACGACACTCGCTTTCGATTTCGACCCACTTTTCCGACCAGGAATACGCCGAACCTCTGTTTACAGCTCTTCTCCGACCGACACGATCGGAGCCGACTGGGAACGACCGATCAAGGACGTCCACTCGGTAAGGACCCAAGAATCAGGCGGAGTAGATAAGGCAAGGCGCTCAAATCAACGGTAATACCGAGGACCGTACCCTGCACACCTGCAGGACAGTACCGCCAGGCCATGCCAGAAGGGTGCTATGCAACCTTCCAGACATGTCAGAACACAAACAGTGTTGTGGGCGTCGATATTTGTCCTACAGTATGGTAGGCGCCGACATTTGCCATACCAGACGAACACGATGGAGCCTGCCACAAGCATTTGGGCGTCAACAGTATTGTGAGCATCGACAACTGTCTGATACCCGACGGCGTGGGCAACAAGACTAGGTAGCACACACTCACTCACTCTCTCTCTCTCTCACTTGTAAGGCCATCCCCTTCACCTATAAAAGGGGGTGCGCTCTCTTCCAACCGAGAGGACGGTCATTCCGACTCTCTCTCTGCTAAGCTTTAGGCATTCTGAGTAGTCGAATAGCTCCACAGCTCTAAAACTCTAAAGCTACACAGAGTATACGTTCTAATACTTAGCGCACGTTTGAAAGCTCTAGTTTGGTTTTGGTGAATTGATGAAACCCTAAGTGCTAACCTAGTTTATCAAGTGATCATGAGATAGGTAGCACACTCCAAGTGGTGAAGAAAATGAAGATCATAGCATGATAAAGATGATGGCATGGTGATGATCAAGTGCTTCGACTTGGAAAGAAAAAATAGAAAAACAAAAAAAAACTCAAGGCAAAGGTATAATTTGTAAGAGTTATTTTGTTTTGGTGATCAAGACACTTAGAGAGTGTGATCACATTTAGTATTGATAGCCGTACTATTAAGAGGGGTGAAACTCGTATCGGAATGCGGTTATCAAAGTGCCACTAGATGCTCTAACTCATTGCATATGCATTTAGGATCTAGTGAAATGCTAACACCCTTGGAAATATTTGAGAAAATATGCTAACACATTTGCATAAGGTGATACACTTGGTGGTTGATACATTTGAACAAGGGTGAAGAAGTTAGAGGTGAAATGGAGTTGGTCGCAATGATGCTGGCGTCGGTCTTCTGACCGGACGCTGGGTCACTCAGCAACCGGACGCTGAAAGGCTACATCCGGTCGAGCTGTCAGACGGCACAGTGATTAGGGTTAAGCACCGGATGCTGGGCTGTGTCCGATCAAGCGTGACCGGACGCGTCCGGTTGGTAAAAATAGGATTTGGACCCTTACTTGAAACGACCGGACACCGAGGGTCCAGCCGTCCGGCCAACAAAGATGTCGAGCGTCCGGTCAACATTTCGACTGTTGAGATCAAACGCTCACAGTTGAACGCAGGTGACACGTGGCCGCCATCAGCGATCGACGAGCGAGACCGCCGTCCGTCGAAGAGGGACCGAGCGTCTGGTCACTGATCAAGACTCAAGTGAAGGGGTATAACGGCTCTATTTCGTGGGAGCTTCTATTGAAGCCCCATGACTGGCTCAAGCTCACTGATTTGGCCATTTTCATTGACATAGCAACGTTGTGAGCTTAGCCAAAGCCCTCCCACTCATTTTCATCATAGATTAAACATCTTTGTGAGATTGGGAGAGAATCCAAGTGCTTTGCTTGAGTGTTTGCATCTAGAGGCACTTGGTGTTCGTGTTTCGCTGCGGATTTTGCTTGTTACTCTTGGTGGTTGTCGCCACCTAGACGGCTTGGAGCAGCGAGGATCGTTGAGCAGAGGGTAGTGATTGTCTCCGGCTCCGATCGTGGTGATTGTGAAGGGTTCTTGACCTTTTTCCGACGGAGCGCCAAAAGGTACTCTAGTGGACTGCTCGTGGCTTTGTGATCCTCATCTTATGTTGGTTGTGCGGCACCCTATTGAGGGTTTGGCGTGTGAAGCCAATTAACGCGTGAACCTCCAAGTGAGTGAATCGCCACAACGAGGACTAGCTTGCCGGCAAGGAAGTGAACCTCGGTAAAAATTATTGTGTTCATCATTGATTCCGAGGTAATTGGTCTTCATTGTTATCCACACTTGTGATTGATTGGTTCATACATCTACACGACGGTATAACCTTCTTGCCTACTCTTTACATTACCGCAAACTAGTTGTCAAGCTCTTTAGTGTAATTAATTGTGAGAGCTTGTTAGTTTGGTTAGTGTGGCTCTTTAGTTAGCATTTGAGAGCACACTAACTTAGTGTAGTGATATAGCTATTGTGTGGATATACTTCATCTAAACTAGAATTGTGGTAGGTGGCTTGCATTTTGGTAGGCCAGTGCAAAATTCGCTTCGCCTCATAATTGTCTAATCCTTTTGTTAAGTGTTGTTGTAGAAATTTTATTAGGCTATTCACCCCCCTCTAGCCATTAGGACATTTCAACGTTGGAGCTCCCGTCACTCTTAGCCCTTCGGTTCAGAGCCTGACCGAACCTTTAACACCCCCTTCTTATTCCCACTCGTTTGTAACCCTACAGCAAACTTTGAGCACCTGGGCTCAGAAATAAAGTCACCGACCGACTAAAACTGGATGTAGGGCACGTTGCCTGAACCAATATAAATCCTGTGCCATTAAGTGCTAGGCCACATACGATCACAACGCACGACAAAACTATAAATATTTACTTGTTGGTCACTTTTCGCACCAACAGTTGGCACCGTCCGTGGGGAAGACGCCGTGCGTTCACGCTTTTGGTCATCGGATGGCCCACCTTTTCACCATCTTCGGCATGACGGGCTCAAGCGATACGATTCGCTTCGACTCGCTGGAGTTTTCCACGCTCCCACTTGTTGGGATGTGGGTTCCTCCCGTCTTCGAGCCGTTCCAGATCTTCTCTTCGGAAGCCTGGACTTTGTCGCCGACCAGCTCGGCGTACTTCGCCTCCGCAAGGAGGCACTTGTCCCGGCGCCCATCGGAGGAGGAGCGCCCTCCGTCGGCTCCGGGCCACCCGACGACCTCAACGACGAGACACCTGCGCTTCGCTTCGTGCCCATGTTGGGCCCAAGCCCCACTGTGAGTAACGTACGTATTGTTCTTTACTCGCTGTTGAATACCTTCCGTCGATTCTCCGAAGGGGCCCGTTGCCCCCGCCGCGATCGCGGTGCAACCGGTTCCCCTACGGCCTCGCGTCTCCCGCGGACGCGTACGCACGGGGGCTCCGAAGGACGCTGATACCGCCCCCTCTCACATCCGAATTCGTGGGGATGGCGGGCTACGCTCCCGCCTCTTTTCACGACCTCATGGATGATGAGGTTGAAAGCGACGGCTCCAGCATCGACGACGTGGCACTTGGCCACCCTCTGTCCCGGGAGTGCGCTATGGCGGACGCTCCGGGACAGCCACCGGTGGTAGTGGAATCTCTATAGACTCATACCCCTCCGGACCCTCGTGTGGAGGCCCTCGCTCGTGCGCAGGAGCACGGCGAAGAGTTGCGACAAAGGCGGCAGAGCCAACCGCCACCAGCGCTGGCATGCTTGGCGCAGCACGCTGCGCCACACGCGCGTAACCCAACAAGCGGCACCCGGGGTCACGCTCGTCAGGTCCAGCGCAACATCCTGGACGGAGGAAACGATCCCCCACAGTTCGCTCGGGCTAGCCAGAACATCACCGTTGCAGCGATGCTTCTGCGTGGCCTTCCTGAGCCTGTCGACCCCCAGGAGCAGGCGGTCCACCGGAACCTCCGGGCGCGGGTGGAAACCGTCGCCGTTCAACAGGCGGAGAGCTCCGCGTCACGACACCGGCTTGCGGCCTCTTTCCCCACCGGGGGAATGGGGGCGCACCAGTCGAATCGCTCCATCCGCTCACCAAAACAGTTGCCGGACGTGGAACAGGAGGCCGCAGCTGCACCACGGCCTGACCCGGCGCCCGCTCCACACCGACCACCTGTGCGCGAACGGCTCGGGCCGAACCATGACGCTCACAGCGTCATCAACAATCGGCGTCAAGCCCGGCGTGATGATGACGTCCATCAAGTAGCGGTGAGAGCAGGCGGCACGGGCCCCGGCCGGACCATCGAGGGGAGCGGGGACACACACCCCAGGCATGGTCGCCGACCAGACGACCGGAGGCCCAGCCCGGACGGCCTGGGACCACGGGCCTTTGGCCGTCGTATCCAGAAAGCGCCGTTCCCACCGCGCTTTCGATCATCCACCAACATCGCCAAGTACACCGAGGAAACGAATCCCGGTATATGGATCAAAGACTTTTGGCTCGTCTGCTGAGCCGGAGGAGTGGATGATGACCACTTCATCATTCAATACCTCCCCATCTACGTGGGGGAGCATGTTCGAGCATGGCTCGAATTCCTCCCGCCTGACAGCATCCGTGACTGGGCGGATCTCAAAAGGATCTTCATCGGAAATTTCTAGAGGACGTATGTTCGTCCTGGGAATTCCTGGGACCTCAAGAGCTGCCAGCAGAAGCCCAACGAGTCCCTGCGGGATTACATCCGTAGGTTCTCAAAACGATGCAACGCCCTTCCTGATGTCGTTGACGCGGACGTCATCAGCGCGTTCGTCTCCGGGACAAGCTGAGTCCTTGATCTACAAGCTCGGTTGTCTGAAGCCCCGTACCACCCACGACCTGCTCGACATCGCCACGAACCACGCCTCCGGCGAGGAGGCGGTCGGACCGGTCTTTAGCGAAGGTCAAGACAAGGGCAAGGCCAAGCGTGAGGACCAAGGCGAGGGCCCCTCCACGCAAAGGGGCAAAAAGAACGAGATGGATCGGCGTCGACCGGCCAACTCCGCTTTGGTCGCCGCGGCCGATCGTGCGGGCAAGCAGCCCCAGCAGGGTCAGCCCGACCACTTCGACAAGCTCATGGAGAGCCCATGCACCAACCACGCCTACCCCGTCAAGCATCTCTATAAGGACTGCGAACTCCTCAAGCGCTTTCTGCGACAGGCCGGCGGGCCGAAGGAAGGAAAGGGCAAGGAGGCAACGGGGCCAAGAAAGGAGGTGTGGCAGGCAGGGATGATGACGGCTTTCCCGACCCCGAGGAATGCCTCATGATCTTTGGGGGATCCGATGTCATCTACTCCAAGCGCCAGCACAAGTTGCGCTACAGAGAGGCATGCGTCGCCGAAACGGCCGTCCCCTCTTTCCTTAGCTGGTCAGAATCTCCGATCACTTTTTATCAAAGGGACCATCCTTCCCACGTCGCCAGACCGGGTCACTACCCGCTCGTCGTCGACCCCATTGTCCGCAAGAAGCGCCTCACCAAGGTGCTGATGGACGGAGGCAGCGGTCTCAATATTCTCTACGTCAACACCCTCGACGCCATGCGCATGCCCCGGTCGGAGCTCCGCCCAGTGAGCTCTCCCTTCCACGGCGTGATCTCGGGGACGCAGGCACACCCGCTCAGGCAGATCGACCTGCCCGTCACGTTTGGCGACCGAGCCAACTTCCGCTCGGAGGTCCTCACCTTCGAGGTGGTGGACTTCCTAGGGTCCTACCACGCCATGTTGGGGCGGCCATGCTACGCCTAGTTCATGGCGATCCCCAACTACACCTACCTCAAGTTGAAGATGACGGGCCCGAACGGCGTCATCACTGTGGGTAGCACCTTTTCGCACGTCTACACGTGCGACCGCGAGCATTACGAGCTCGCCATTGCCGTCATCAACTTAGCCGAGCTCCCTCAGCTCAGAAATTCGTCGACTCTGGTAGTCCCAGACTGCAACAAGCCAACCTCCTCGATTGTCTTCTACCCAATCGAAGAAACTAAGACGGTGGGGATCGACCCCACCGACCCAACCAAGACGGTGTAGATCGGGGCCAAGCTCCCGGCCAAATAAGAATGCGAGCTCGCCAACTTTTTATGCGCCAATCGCGACGCCTTCGCATGGAAACCTTCTGACATGCCGGGCGTACCGCGGGAGGCCGCCGAGCATGCATTACGCCTCAAAGCCCGCCAAGCAACGCCTACGTCGCTTTGACGACGAGAGGCGCAGGGCCATAGGCGAGGAGATCGTCAAACAACTGGCAGCTGGATTCATCGAGGAGGTATACCACTCCGACTGGCTAGCCAATCTTGTTCTTGTTAAAAAGAATACTGGGAAATGGAGAATGTGCGTTGATTATACTGGCCTCAACAAGGCGTGTCTGAAGGACCATTTTCCTTTGCCACGCATAGACCAGATAGTCGACTCCACCTCAGGATGCGAAATCCTCTCATTTCTGGATGCCTACTCAGGCTACCACCAGATCGTGATGAAAGAGTCCGACCAGCTCGCAACTTCATTCATCACCCCAAATGGTTCGTACTGTTACGTAACCATGCCCTTCGGTCCGAAGAACGTTGGCGCCACCTATCAACGGTGTATGCTGCAATGCTTCGCCGACCAAATCAACCCGCTCGACCAGCCTGACCAAGTCGAGCGGCCAAAACCAATAATCGCCGTCTATGTAGATGACATAGTGGTCAAAACGGCTCAAGCTTGCGACCTGATCGTGAACTTGGCCGCAACGTTCGCAAACCTCCGAAGGTTCAGCATCAAATTGAATCCCGAAAAATATGTTTTCGGGGTTTCGAAGGGGAAGCTGCTTGGATACATCGTGTCCGAACGCGGCATTGAGGCCAACCCTAAAAAAATCACGGCCATCTCCAACATGGGCCCTATACGCAACGTCAAGGGCGTACAGAGGCTCACCGGCTGTTTGGCCGCCCTGAGCCGGTTTATCTCTCGGCTAGGCGAGCAGGGGATGCCTCTCTACAAACTTCTCAAAAAGACAGACGCGTTCGTCTGAACTGAGGAGGCTCAACAGGCCTTGGAAAGCCTCAATGGAACAGTCTGAAGCTATGTGAAACTTCAATGTTTAGGTATGATAATGTACCAATGGAGATTAACCGGCTAAGATGCAGAGTTAGCTATCATGCATTAAAGTTCCTACCTGATATTGAGGAAATGGCCGATAAGCTTGCAGCAAGAATGAGGAACAGAACTGGCAACATAAATCCGTACATACGTTATTAACTATCCTTTTTGTTGGATGATATTGTGTACAGTAGAGCTTGTATCTATACAAGACATTATCCAATGCAGATGGAGTTGACGCTCTCCAAGTTTTTTTCACAATCAAAATATTGACATTTTTTTCTTATTAAAGGGCTCTTCACCTGAGATTTGAAAAAGGAATGGTGGGGCTTTCTTTCTGTGAATTTGCTGGCACACGGGGGGGAGAAGGCGACGATGGCCGCTTACAGGAAGAAAGAATGGCCAAGGCGCTACAAGGTGACGCGAATCTGGACTAGATATATCTGTTACATTGGACTGAGAAAGAAGGCCTGGGAGAAATGAAGCACGGACAAAAGGCCCAGCTGATTCAGCAAGAATCAGCCCAAACTCCTCCATCCGAACGGGGCCAATATCATGCCATTCTAACGAATTTCTCTTCTTTGTATATCTGCATGCAGAATGGATCCCATCTGTGGCCACAGGCACTGCAGAAGAGAAAAAAAAAGGCCGTTGCCCTCTTGAGCCCGGTGAGATTGCTGTGATCCTTCGAGCACTGGGGTACACGAGCGGAACGCAGATATACGTCGCGTCAGGGCAAGTCTACGGCGGCAAGAACCGGATGGCTCCCCTCAGGAACATGTTCCCCAACTTGGTAGGCACAGGCACAAATCCACAGCTCAGTGGCAACACATTGTTTGCTTGAACCCATGAAACCAAATGGCCACCCACTTTATTGTATCAAGCTGAAACCAGTAAGCCATTGCCGTGCATTTGCAGGTGACGAAGGAGGAGCTGGCGCCGTTCCGGCGGCACGTGACGAGACTGGCGGCGCTCGACTTCCTGGTGTGCCTGCGGTCGGACGTGTTTGTGATGACGCACGGCGGCAACTTCCGAGTGTTCGTGATGACGCACGGCCTCAAGTCGGTGAAGCCGGACAAGGGCCTCATGTCCAAGTCCTTGGGCGACCCCGACATGGGCTGGGCCTCCTTCGCGGAGGACGTCGTGGTCACGCACCGCACGCGGACGGGACTCCCCGAGCCCACCTTCCCCAGCTACGATCTCTGGGAGAACCCGCTCACGCCCTGCATGTGCAGGGCCTGAGCCTGAGGGCCTTCCCGAGTCCTCGTCTTCTCGAGCCATCTTCCCCTAGGAGCTAGGAGTAGTCCGTAGCCACTCCTCCCATCAGCATTTCAGCAAGTATGCTTCCATTAGTTAAGCACCTACGATTTTCTATGTATTTTGTTGGCCTAATCTGTAGTTTGACATAGATCAGTTCTTGCTGAAAATGTATTGGACAAAGCAGTGCTGAAAATGTATTGGACAAAGCAGTGAATGAAGATAATATCAGTAACCTGCTTTTCCAAAACACCTTTTGGATTTACCAAACTGAGCCAAGAAATGACTCACCTGAGATTTGGCTGCCGACATGACGTGGGATACCGTGAACTCGCTAGTCGTGACGTTTCTTCCACGCGGCAGCTCGGCACAGACATGCCGCCTCTCTGCCCGCCACGTTCTCCTGCAACTCGATGCACTCAAAAGCTATTAAGAACTGGATTGGTTCTCGAACAAGAACAGAAGAGAGACAGGAGAAGTAGCAAAGCAGCTAGAAAGAGTGATCAGCAATGGCGCAGCTTAGAGCACCCTCCGACGAGCAGCGGCAGGAGTTGGCGCTGCACGGCGTCGTCGCCGGCGGGAACGAGAGCAGCAACAAGAAGGCGCGCGCGGGGCTCTGCGGCGTGCTCCGCGAGCGCAAGGTGGTGGAGATGGCGCGCGCCAAGCGGCGGCTGGTGGAGGTCCCCTACACCGCGACGCTGGCGCACACGGCCAACGCGCTCCTGGCCACGCGCGTCTCCGGCGTGGCCGTGGCCGCGCCGCCGGGCCACTGGATCGGCGCCGGCGGGTCCATGATCCTCGAGTCCGACCTGGCCACCGGCGCCGTCCGCAAGCACTACATCGGCATGGTGAACATGCTCGACATCCTCGCCCACATCGCCGACGCCAGCGACGACGCCGAGGCCGACGGCGAGGCGGTCGACCTCGACCGCCGGATGGCCGTGCCGGTGTCCTCCGTCATCGGCCACTCCCTCGAGGGCCTCACTCTATGGACGCTCCACCCGACCACCAGGTACGCCGGCCGATCTCCACGCTCTTTTTTTTTTCTCCGATGAAATCTGCGTGTGCGCGACATGTACGTAATCTCCTGCTCGTTTTGTTGCACCAGCGTGCTGGACTGCATGGAGACGTTCAGCAAGGGGGTGCACCGCTCGCTGGTGCCGCTGGAGAGCTCGGCGGACAACGTGGTGGCGGTGGAGCTGGTGGAGTCGGCGCCGGGGTACCGGATGCTGACGCAGATGGACGTGGTGAGGTTCCTCAGGGCGCACGGCGCGGAGCTCAGGGGCGTGCTGTCGCGCACCGTGCGCGAGCTCGGCGCTGTGAACGACACGGTGTTCGCGGTCGCCGGCGGCACCAAGGTGATCGACGCCATCAGGACGATGCGGGCGGCATCGCTGACCACCGTGCCCGTCGTGGACGCCGCCGCCGTTGGTAGCGGTACAGAGACCACCCTTCAATACGTGAGTACTGCACGCACCTCCGATCCGAACACCCCGGCGACGCCATCTCCTGTCTGAAATTCCTGTTGCCTGTTGTGCTGCTGCAGGGGAACGGGCAAAGGGCGATCGAGACGTTCTCGGCGACGGACCTGCGTAACTGTCCGGTGGCGCGGCTGCAGCCGTGGCTGGGGATCAGTGTGACGGAGTTCAAGGGGAAGTTGGCCGAGTACCGGGCGAGCAACAGGCCCGTGGTCCCCGGCGCCGACGCCACGGACACCAGCACCCCGGCCGACACCCCCGCAGCTGCCGCCGTCGCCACTGACGACGAGCAGAGCGGCCAGCAGCAGGAGTCGGCGGCGCTGGTGACGTGCTCCCCGGACAGCACCCTCGGCGAGGCGATTGAGGCGGCGGCGTCGAGGCACGTGCACCGGCTGTGGGTGGTAGACGAGGAAGGACTCCTCCGCGGCGTGGTGTCGCTCACCGACATCCTCTGGGCGGTGCGGGAGGCCGCGCTCGGCGAGGACCGGGAGCTGCACAGCATCGTGTCGTGATCGTGTCGTGATCGTGGCGTGGTGTCGTGGCAGTCTGTCCGTAGTGTCCGCCTGTCTTGCTGCTGCAGGGTACGCGCGGCAGCAAAGAGCGGTCGAGACGTGTTCTCGGCGGTCGGCCGGCCGCCGGTGAGCTTGTTTTGCCTTGTTGCTTTGTTAGGCTCCTGGCTCTGGCTCCGAACCAGGCGTTGTATTTCGTTTACACGTCTTCATCGTCACGTCCGTTTTTGCATCGTTTTACTGGTCAACAACCATAAATACGTGGTGCACTGCCGGTGTTTCCAGTGATAGACGGCAGGATCGATCAGTGTCAAGACTGTAAGCGATGCTGATGTGCCTGAATGCCTCCTCACGAGCCGCGAGCTCGAAATATTCAAGCCACTGTCTATCCTATAGGTAGTGAAGGCTAAAAAAAATCACTCAAAAAAAACACTTCAACATGCTACCTACTTGACTACTTAACTACCTTGGCTTAATAAATTTCTCCTCCCACTACCTACATCTGTTATGCCAACAAATGTTGGTACCTATTTTTCCTCTGTCTATCTCCTCCCCGACACGCACCGAACCGCCTGACGCCGCCCACGCCTTCGCCTTGCTCTCGCCTGCGCCGGCCCTCCACATCCCGCTGCCGTGGCCTCGCACTCGAGCTCCCCGTGCCCCATCTTCACCTGCGCCCGATCTTCTCCAGCCGGGGCGGCCTCCATTGGCCAAGTTCGTCTATGGCAAAGGAAGGAAGGAGATGACATGTGGGCTCCACGTATCATTGACTGTTAAACTGAATTTGAGAACTATGATTTAGGTAGTAATATTGGACTGAAGTAAAATTTAGGTAGTATAAAAATAAATGGGTACCTATGTGCCAATGCGCTCGTCACGACGCGCGAACGATGCATGCAGTTGCCGATGCGATGGAGCGTGGAGAGTTGGAGACGCATCGGAGACATGGGTTGCCTCGTTCATGTACAGCCATGGACTGAGATAGAGACGTGCACGCGCGGCGGCACCAATTCCGAGCTGAGAAATGAGGACGCGAGTTCACGCTGGCGTCTTTTTTTTTAAATTTTTTTTTATCACGACTGATATGGCGTGATGCAAACAGCGAGACTCGAGAGCATTGACACGACACATGCGGAGACGACTGCTTTGCCACGCACACGGTTCGCTCACGTCGATGGACATCATCGTCGCCTCGTCCTCGTGGTGCCGCGCCGCCGAATCTCCGAATCCAAATCCAACTCGGGGCGTGCGTGACGGAGACGGCACGGACGGCGGGGCCACCAGACACCGGCCCCGCCGGCAGCGACCTCTACGCGGCGCGCAGGGGGGCCCTGGCGGCCTGATATGGTATCGGATAGGGCCGAGACGGGAGGCGCGCGCCTGGCTCGTCATTCATTGTCCAGTTGGTCGTCTGACGAGTTACGGCTGAAAATACCGTTGACTGATTTGTTATGAGAAAAAAATATTTTTCGTTGATTGAAAAATACAGTTTATAAGTAAAGCGAGGAGGGCGTCATTTCCTCGGCTGGGGCCTGGAGGTCCTCCGGTCGACCGTTGCGCGTAGCCGTACGCCGTCGCTCTGCCTGAGTACCTTCGTGTCCTCGTCCACCTTCAGATTCTAACCACTAGTATTAGCCAGAGCCAGGGCTGTTTTGGGCCTGCTTGGTTTCTTTGCGGGATCCTGTTACACCGAGCAAGGCTATTTTGCACGGATGTATGATCGGTTCCTTTGCCTGACCGTCTCGGGAGTCGGGAACAGTGACAGCAAGATTTGGCTTGCTGACGTGAGACAGCCAATTTGGCTCGCCCGGCTGAGCGAGCTTCTTGTCGCCCCTGCCGGCTGAGCGAGGAGGCCCGTGGGGAACCAAGCAGCCCTTTGTTGCCCCGCCGGCCGCCCTAGCCAGCTTGTATTGCCTGGCCCGGATGGCGTGGTGTGGTGGCTTGGACCAAAATCGCGTAGTTATTCCCATCTCTGAGCTATTAGAGAACTGTGGGTGCGTCCGTACCCATAGAAAAATAAAAAAAAACAATGATAATATTCAATTTTTCATCGTACCTCCGTGATAAAAGTTTACGTACCCACGAGTCAAACGCATGCCCCCTCGAATGAGCTTGAGCCCCGGTCAGCAGCCCCCCTCGTTCATGTACAGCCGTGGCGGCCAGGGTCTGTTTTGCTGCCGCCCTAGGAGTCTAGGACAGATGTCCCATGTGTGGTGCACTGGTGCCCGCCCGGGATCCGCCGGCCCCGCGTCCCGCACCGCCGCACGCCAAACTGCCCCACGCGAAAGAGATACCGAGGGAGGCGCTGGACCGGATAGATGACCCACCCCAAACCAAAAGCCGAGCCCGAGAGCGAGAGGCCGGGACAGAGCACGCGCGCGCCCACGTACTCCTTTTTTCCCCCCCTCTCAGTTTTCCCCGTCCGTGCCGGCCCCGCTGCCCATCGTTTCCGGCCCGGGTCGACCGTTGCGCCGGGTAGCCAGGCTTTTGCTTCCAGCTTCTTCTGTCCTGTCCTCCTTCCAAATCAGGCAACATCAGTTGCGCGCCCTAGGAGTCCGTTGCACACCCTGGCCCTGGGTTGGGTGGGGCCTACTTCCTGTTTTTACACACCCTGGCCCTGCTACGCTGCTCCTACAGCCTGCAGTGTCGATAAAGAGTTGCGATAGTTTTGCTCGATCAAGCAAAACCAGCTGGAAGGAAACAAAATCCATGCTTCCGGATAGATAGAGTATCTGTATTTCGTCTTTTTTTATTCACGGGAAGAGGAAGAATAGAAGATTCACGTGGTCGTGGTGCAGGCGAAGGCTCGCCGACTGTGCGGAGAGCATGTGGCAGCAGCGGCGCTCCTGCTGATCATCACGCTCACGCCCTGTCTGTGTGTGTCCTGGCATCTGGCAGGGGCTCATTAACATCACTGTAGTAGTGGTAACATGGTTGGTTAAAGTTTCAAAAAAAAAAACATGGTCGGTTAATGATTATAGTTAGGTGCTGTTTAGTTCTCAAAATTTTGTAAAAATTTTCAAAATTTTTCATCACATCGAATCTTTGGACGCATGCATGAAGCATTAAATATAAATAAAAAATAAAACTAATTACACAGTTTAGACGAAATTCACGAGATGAATCTTTTAAACCTAATTAGACTATGATTAAACACTAATTATCAAATAACAACAAAAGTGCTACGGTACCATTTCTTAAAAAAATTTCGCCAACTAAACCAGGCTTTAGGCAATCGAGTGCGTGGTACAGATAGCACAGTACCTTGGATCGCGCACGCACTTCCACTCCGAGTACGCACTCATTAAGGGCGTCCCCAGGGATGCAGATCGCCAGCTGACTCGGATTTCATCCGTTGTGGATCGCCAAAATTCATTATCGCTACCGACGAACGAATCGCTAGTCTATTTGTTTGTACCGAGGCAAGCTGGCCCACCACCTGAGCTACGCACCAACCGGAAGGATGAAAAAAACTGACGCTGGACCCAAGTTCTTTGGAAACTGTGTAACCAAATATAGCAACGAATTTTTATATATTATCTGGACACTAGCGAGCTGGCTCTGTCAGTCTGTTCAGTTGGCTGGTTCGTGAAGAAGTACTACTAGCTAGTTTGTATGAGAGAAAAATACTGTTTCAGTTGGAAATTTACGATCGTTTACGACAAGCCACAACCAAACGAACAGGATAAATGGGACGCCCTAAATTCCTCTCTGCATTGCATTGCAGAACGGAAAGAGGCGTTTAAAGAGCGGTTGACATGTGGGCCCACTCTCCCTATCCCACATGTGACGTGCCAGCGACTCATGATAAATCCTCTACAGTGTAGTCCTTCCCACGATCAGTCTGTTCGCTGGTTGATTTCTAGGCTAATAAGTCCGACTCTGCTGATTTATTGTGAGAGAAAAACACTATTAACTAACTAATAAGCTATGGCTAAAACCAATAAACAAACAAACTGGTATCCCTGAGCACGAGTACAACACCTTTGCATTGCAGCGCAGCAGCCTCCCTCTCCATCTCTTATGTTCACGGTCGTTGGTCGTTGCCATCAAAAGCCTAGCGGAGTGGTACGACCGCTGCGCCTCCTCCTAGCTGCCCGCCTGCCCGTGGTGTCTAGCGTCCGGCCACCCTACGACGAGGGCCATTTTGAGTTTTGTGTCGCTGAAGCCAGCCACTCCATCTCGTCCTACACACGTCACAAGATTAACAATTTAACAAGCTCTCATCCGAGCTCCTGCCCTGCCTCACATGGGCGCGCACGGTACCTCCTCTGGGCATCCGCCATGTGTGCAGTTAACACGCGTGCTAATCCAGATCAGTAGCAGTCGTCGTGCAGGATGCCGATGGCTTCTGCTCCCTCCGTCCACACAGAAAAGCCAATTCTCTTCTCGTTTTATATAAAAAAGTATCGTTTAATTCGTTTAAAAAAGTACTAACATTCACGATACAAAATAAGTATCGTTTAATTCGTTATACAATATATTTTTATAACAAATCTATTTAAAGACATAAATATTAATCAGCCTGTTCGCTTGCTCGTAAACGATCGTAAATTTTCAGCCGGGAACAATGTTTTTCTCTCACACCAAACCAGCCAGCAGTAAATAATCTATGATACGATACGGCCTCCCGAACAGGCTGAATATTATTTACTCTAATCTTGGTCAAACTTGAACTAGTTTGACCGACACGAATCACACAGTTACATTCTTTCCTACACTGAGGTCTTGTTTGGATGCACATATATTCATCTCAATTCACGTACGTCGAAGACTTAAAGTCGATTGGAATAGAATTAAACTAAGTTCTGTTCAATTCCGATCCTAAAAAGCGAGGGAGTGATGGTTTGGCTTGATTACACGATGTCCGGCTTGTTCGCTTGTTGGTTTCAGCCAGCCCAAACTAGCCAGCCAACAGTATTTTTCTCTTAAAAAAACAGCATCAGCCAGCCCAGAGCAGCACCAACACCCACCAACGAACAAGCCCGGTACTGGTCACTCTACTAGGAGTGGTACGACTCGTCGTGACAGACTGACAGGAGCTGCGTGCACCGCTGCTGTCAGTTAACTATTCCGTTCCATCTAATCTGATGTGGAGAAGATTTTTAGTCAGCAATTGTGTCGGGTGGAGTGGAGATTAGGGTGTGGGTGCCACTCTATTCTACGGTGATCAATTGTGCCAGTAGTATATTATTAGTACCTGTCACAGCTTTATTATCATTTAGAGCTCTATACTACTCCTACACGAGTCATGAGTGTGATTCTCCACCTGCATGTGAAGTTGGAGTGGGCATTTGGGGTGATGCACTGCACGTAGCGGTGCTACGCTGGACCTTTCTTCTTCATCTTTTTATTTTTCAATTTTTTGGCCCGTGGGGCCCACGCTCTGGTGGTGAGTGCACCACTAATTGTGTTCGTGTCATTGTGTGTGCCCAAGCGCACAAGCGTACAAGGGGAGCACAATCAATGCAGTTTCTTTTTTCCATTTCTTTTTTGCGCTTTTACTTCATGAGAAAGGGAAAAGTGTGGCTCGAATTAATTCAGCTAAAAGGAAGACGGATCATGCAAAACAGACGGTGGCTCCATGGTTCCTTAACTCCTCCAACTAGAGAAACAGAAGAGTACTATAGCTTATAACTCGATTCTTTTCCGTAGATCATAGTCATAAGAGTACCATTTCATATCTATATGGAATTAATATCAACACGGATGGCCTTCTTTTTAGCGCCGCAACAGATCCTGGTATCTATAAGGATACCAGGATGGCCAATCGTCTGCTCCAAAGAACCCTTTGGAAAAAGTTCCTATAGGTTTAAAATGCTACAAAATTCCTCTATTAATCCTTTGTTATAATGTGGGCCTTAAAAAAGAAACTTGACTGAACAAAAGATCCTTGAATTCTGTTTCCCGTTTTTTCTGCACTTTCCACGGCCACCTGAAAGAGTTATAGAAATTTACACCCCACCCCTCACTCACGCGGTAATTGCACCACAAACTGCAATTGAAGAACTTAAATTTCCGGAAACAGTAACCGTTGTTGCTTCTTCACCCCGTATAAAATCTGGAATCCGACCACTACAGTAAAAAGGCTTATTTTTACCCATTTTGGCTGCCAAAATTTCTTCACCATTTCTCGTGCATGCAATGCAACCGAATGATATACCTCATGAGTCATGGCCACCTGGCTTCTCCTCAGCAACAGCTCACATTTTTCTTTCTTCTCCACTACCTCCACCCAGCCCAGCTATCTTCCCCACCCCACCAGGCCACCACCACCACCACCACCACCACCTCTCTCTCTCTCTCTCTCTCTCTCTTCTTCCTTTTTCTCCTCTCTTTCTGATGCTTTGACGCCACAACTCGCCGCTTTGGCCGCCTCTGCCTGCCTCCCACCATCTCCTCTGCCAGTGGTTAAAGCAGGGGGAGGAGCTGTAGGAGGAGAACAGAAGAAGAGAACAGAGAGAAGCGCAGGAGAGGGGGACCGAGGGAGCGGGCAAGATGTTTGACAGTTTGCTCAACTCCAAGTTCTACAACAAATGGTACAGAGATCTTTCCCGTTGATTCGGTTTGGTGCGTGATTGGGAGCTTCGGGCCCGGCTGCTCTCGAAGTTCGTTGCCTGTTTTTCTGGACAGCCGAGTTCGAAATCGGTTGTTTTGAGCTTCCTTTTGCCGACGATTTGTTCAGCCTTCCGATTTGCGCGGAGAAAATGAAGTCGAATGTTTAGCTGCATTCGGAAGCTTAGTCGGGTAGCTGCGTCCCTCGGTTCTTGCGTTCCTCGGATTCCGAATTGTTTAGTTCCACTTCTCATCTTCATCTGCGAATTCAAGGAACTGTTCCCCGGACTTGCGAGCGCCTTTCCCCCCTCCTTTTTGTAGCAGAGAATCTGGTCCTGTTCTCGATCTATGTTCTGCTTTCCTGCTGTTTGTCCAGATTCCTGCATTCTCGATTTGGCCTGTGTTTGTTTGATTTCTGCTATTCCCCCTCCTAACCGCTGAATTCGTTGTTTGGTGCAGCAAGCACGCAATCAAGTGCACCCGGACTCGGCTGGATCTGCTGCGGCGGAAGAAGCAAGCCATGGTCAAGTTTCTCAAGAAGGACGTCGCCGACCTCCTCACCAACGGCCTTGAATCGCACGCCTTCGCACGGGTACTGTCTTCACTTCTGAAGGCTTGAATTTGAATTGTTTAGTGGTGTCGGACGGATTTGCGTTGGTGCGAATTTGACGAAATGGAAATATTCTTCGAAGCTGGATTGCACGAGAAATTTATGACGAAATGCAGAGCCATGTAATGGTGTTTGTAGTGATATGTTCCTGATTGCTATTACTTAGCTGTTTCCCCCTGAACTGCAGATGGAAGGGCTGATCGTTGAGATGAACCAAGCATCGTGCTATGATATGATAGAGCAGTACTGCGAGTATATTGTGAAGCTGCTCAACCACATGCAGAAAGAGAGGTAATTGTCAGTTGCCACCCTTCTTCAAGTGATGCACTGATTCCATCTTGTGAATATCTGTTTTAGTGCTGCATACACATGTGCTCTGCATGTGTTTGTGTTCTTGCTAGGAAGAAAAAGGGAAACATCATAATCCATCCAATTTTTGTTGCAGTAGCTCTGATTTCTAGTATGCTGTAGCTGATTAAGGTGGCTTAGACTTAGACATCATCCCTTTTGAATATTCAGTTTGATCAGTGCTCTATGGATTCCTAGCCTAAGTGGCTTGTTTGGAGATAATTGCTTCAGTGCATAGCTTGATTAGATATAACTTGATTTTCTTGTTCATTTGTGCTCAAGGCATGCCATACTCCTGTTGTCATGCATATGTCGCATTTAAGATTGAAAATTCTTTCAGTCAAGGTAGCTAATCACTGACTTGATGTTTTTTCTGGTTTAGCAATTTCCATAGTATCCCAAGATTGTACAAGATTTGGATATTCCTACATACACCAGATCCTCTTTTTGCATTTTGCTTACTATAATCATGTGTACTGCAATTTTTCTCTCATCCCCCCAAAATACCACTGTTTTCACATTTAGGGATATGCAGATGGTAGATATTTTTTACTTTGGTTGTTTCTAGTTGTATCATTACCAAAATATCTAGTTCTTTTATTTATCAATTCGATTAATATTACAATAAGACTTTCTTCCAAATTGATAACTGAATCTGTGATGTTCCTTAACAGTGAATGCCCTCAGGAAGCATTGGAATCTGTGTCTACTCTAATATTTGCTGCTGCTAGATTTCCTGATTTGCCTGAACTGTGTGACCTCAGACATATATTTACAGAGAAATATGGGAGTTCTGTCGAGCCTTTTGTTAATTCTGAGGTGCTGAAATTGCTTTTACTTTTCTTATATTTGAGCTGATCTCCATCGTTTGGAACATATGGATTAACTTAACTTTTCTGTGAAACAGTTTGTTCAGAACCTCCAGAGTAAATCATTTACTAATGAAGAGAAGTTGCGTAGTAATGAAACGTGTTGCTGAAGAGTTCTCAGTTCCATTTGATAGCAGGGCATTGGAATGGAAGATAACTTGTGGCTCTCAAAATAAGCATGTAAGGTTTTAGTAAACCTTTGCATTATCAAATACATGCAAGGACTTACCAAAGGAATAATCATTTGGTAAGCATATATGGGTCACTCAATTCTAATCTTCACATTCTTTTGCCATCAGGATTTTCCAAAGAAGAGTTCACTTAAACAGGAGATGGAAGCATCAGCACGAGATGGACACAAGGTTGATAGGCATGCTGTTCATGAAAGAAAAATTAAAGCTATGCCTGAAGGCTATGAACAGAAGCAGGAACAAAACGTAAAGCCCAAAGATATCCATGTTGTTCCTGATGGCATTGGTCAGCTAGGTGAAAAAAGCAGAAAGAAGTACTCAGATAAACCTAGTGAGAAAAGGCACATGGATAATCCTTTGCCTCCTTTGGACATGAAAGAAAAGAATGGTCAGAAAGAAATGAAGAAATATGACAAAAAAGATAGTCACCATCGGAGGGAACTAATGGACGCGGAGGTGTTGGACCTCAATGGCTTAAAAAAACAGGATGTTGGTGTGGTGAAACTTTCTGGTGGACCTGATCGTAGTTGGGGACATGCTGACTTGGGGCTTAAAACTCTGGGCCTAGAAAAGGAAGAAATTGATTCAACTGGCACCTTGAATGGTAAAACAGTGAACAAGGCTCCTCCTTATTCTAAGCCCTACAGAGTATCAATGGGTGAGAAGGTTGCTGAAGATAGGCAAGATAGACAGCCTGTGCCAGAGAAGGCAGCCAATATGCGTCCTCCTTATGTTAAGCCAAATTTTGAAAAGCATGCAAATCAAGGTGCAAATGGTTACAAGCATAGTGGCGCTGAAGAAATAGGCCACCAGAAGCGTGAACCGATTTATGACCCTGTTTCGGTCAGAAGTAGGATTCCAAAACCACCTGCACATGTTGATGATTACGCTGGAATGGCTAACGAGGAAAAGATGGCAAACCAAGCACCTGATGGCCGAAGAAGACATTCAAGCAAGAGGAATGGAGCCTATGACAATTATGACCATAAAGGTGGTCATGTGCTACCCATAGAAGGCATGGGGGTCGATGATGATATCAACAACGCAAAGGCCTTTTTCACCGGATTCCTAGTGAGCGGAGAAAGCACAGAAGCAGGCGGAACGGATCGACAAGTGGCAGTGACTACAATGGGGCCAGCGAAGACCACGAGTCAGATGGTGATGATGTGAATACAGCAATTGACTTGGCAATCTGCTGCCCCGAGCCCCTAGTTCACATAGGAAACACAGGAGTCGGAGTGCTGATCCTCGCAAGGGAGGCCGTGATGATGAGGAAAAGATGATGGATAAGCTTCTGATGCACTACAGCAAGAAAGGGCTGGACAGGAGGAGCACAAAGAAAGAGTCAAATCCGGATCCCGCGGCCTCGAGCTGATCAACGTGCTGATGATGGAGCTGGAGAACTGTCTAATAAAGAAGGGCATCTGCACATCGTCCTGAAAGAGCTGTATCTCTACCTTCAGAATCCATAAGCCCAAAGGCGAAGCCAAGTCGAAGGCCCCTGTTCGGTCCTTGTCCATGCAGCCAGAAATGTCAAGAGGAATGTGCATCCAAGTATGCCAGATTTCGGACGAACTGGCTGCCCGGATCAGTGCTCTGAGGAACGCATGAGCTGCCACACGACTGTCTTCTGCAATGCTTCTGTTCTTTCAGGAACTTGTACCATGGAATCTGAAATCTGATGGTGCCTGCGAGTCATGGGAATAAGAGGACGCTCGAGATGTAATCGGCCTGCTCTTGCAGCATTTTATCTTGGTGGTATACTTGGTTGTGTTGCTCGGAGTGTGTCTTGGTAGGGTATTGTCATCAGGAAGAGTTAAATGTGGCAATTCATAGGGATACCATATTCTATACCAGTAGTCAGCTACAACGATTTGGATGTGGTTGTCATTGTTGTACTCATAGAACAAATATTGTTGGTGTATAGATGCCCATTGATGCGGCTATGATGATAAAGGAATCTCTTCTTCTTTTTTATAGTTTTTCCTCCATTTGTTGATGAGGCTGGAGCAGATGCCATTTTCTTGAGCAACAATTAGGCAGCCTGGCGGCCTGTTCGTTTGGGTTTGTTTAGCTTATAAGCCATGGCTGAAAGTACTGTTGGTTGATTTGGTGTGAGAGAAAAATACTGTTTGTTGGCTGTTTGTTGGCTTATAAGCTGGATTCCTTATTTAATTTCTCCTGGGGGAGGAAGGGCATGTGACGGTTGCCGCATCTAGCGGTGCCGACGCCGAAAGCTTCTGCTCAGCAGAGCTGCAAAATCATTCTGGGCACGTTCTTGCGTCGTGGATTCGCGAGCAATGACTGCCATCAGCATGTTCGCTTGCTCGTAAACGATCGTAAATTTTCAGTCGGAAACAGTGTTTTTCTCTCATACTAAACCAGCCAGCAGTAAATAATCCACGATACGATACGGCCTCCCGAACAGGCTGTATATTCTTCTTTCTTGAATATTACAACCAGTCTTTTACATTTACTAATACAGGAAAAAACAATTGGGATCTTCGAACCGATCTTATTACTGCTGTACGACTGAATTTTCAACCAAAGCAACCGCTGGCCTTGTTTCAGTATTATTTATTTGGCAACTGCTCCGGTACTCCCTTTTTTAAAAATAGCACGAATCCCAAAACAGGCTATTGAAGAAATTAATTACTTTATATTATTTTGCATCTGGGTCCTGCCTAGGCCCAGCACGTCCTAGCCCAGCCCGAGGCCAGCCCTGATCCATAGTGGAAGTAAAGTGTGTGCAAGTCTCCGTGACTCAGTCTTCAGTCCGACGTTTCTCTCGCGGCTTGCTTCTTCTTCCTTTCCTGAGCAGCGGCGGCCGGCGGACCGAGACAAGTGCCGCGCCTCCTTCCCCCTCCTACCTTGCCCCCACCGCACCATGCGCCACCGGCCGCCCGCGCCCCACCGAACGTAGATGGTTTCTCCAAGAAGAGGTACGAATCATTTGCCGAGAAACGGCAATATAAGTGCACTGTATGCAAGCAGCAGGGCCATAGCATGAAAACATGTGTCAAACAAGTAAATAATTTAAATGTAATATATATGGTTTACATGCTTGTGCTGAAGACTGTGCTGGCTGTGCTATCTGTGATGTGTGTGCCTGTATAATAGGAGGGTAAAAGTGACTTTTTTTTTCTTTTTTTCTCAGGTGCAACAAGGGTGCGACTGATGATGAATCTTCCAAACTCGGACTGGAGGAGAGGCTGCGGACGATCTACTAATGCTGCATTGGATGCCAACTGAAATTCAGCAATAGCTCGCGTACAGATCCTACGAGGGGCCAACTCATTTGCAACTTCATGTCCCATTTTGATGCTATTTGGTGCCAGATTAATAATTCTTGTATCCTGGAAACGTTTCTACACTTACAGCCTGTTCGCTTGTTGGTTTCAACCAGCCCAAACCAGCCAGCCAACAGTGTTTTTCTCTCACAAAAAACCAGCACCAACCAGCACCAGCACCAACCAGCGAACAGGCCCTTAATGATTTGGTTGTATCTTGGAAACGTGTCTACAGTTTTATGATTTGGCTTCATCCTGTACTTCAACCAATACAGTCAGCAGGTCAAGATGAACTTATACTAAGTAACGGCTGCACAAAAGTTTTTACAACTTGTTTATAAGTAGTTGCTGTCCGGAAGGAATTAGTTTCATGAATTCATTACTCAGATACTCAACAATCGCTTAGAACAACACCTCCAAATTTGTGGAGTAGAATCATGAATAAAAGAAATAGGCCTTGTTTAAATCCAGTGGGTAAAGTTTTGGGGTATCACATTGGGATGTTGCATGGGGTATTCGGATACTAATAAAATAAATAAATTACAGAATTCGTCAGTAATCCACGAGATAAATTTATTAAGCCTAATTAATCCGACATTAGCACATGTGTACTGTAGCACAACATTGTCAAATCATGTACTAATTAGGTAAATTAGTCGTAAACTATACAATTAGTTATTTTTAGTCTATATTTAATACTCAAACATTCGATTGATAGGGAGTAAACTTTAATTTGAGGAACTAAACAAGGCCATATTTTATGGCCAGGTTTCTGGCCATTCTATTCTAAGGCCTAGGCTGCTACCTTAACAAGTACACGTGAGCACAATGCCATCTGTACATATCTTCTGTCCTGCACCTGGACCTGGTTTCAGATTTCTGGCAATCATTGCAGATACTTGCATTGCAGAAGATCAGCAACGAAGCTGTTGGTTCACTTGGTACTAAGATATACAAGCTTGCATGTCTTTAAGAAAGCGTCTAGCAGTTGCATACAAAGGCAACCATGTTAACGTTTTTGATGTTCTGAATATTATACTGGCCATTGCAAAATACATGGATGCAAGGCATCCCCAAGTGAGGTACTTACACCAGGATGCTGCTGCAACGTAGGAGAGTATTGTTAGTTAAATCTTCAGGTCCAAATGTGCAATGGAAGATTTAGAAATTGCAGTAACTTGGTGTTCAGCTCTTGAAAATCAAATACCAGCCGGTCAGGTTATACTGCGACTGGCATAGATGAAAGTCTGCCCTGCCCGGTTGCCGAGCCTGCAGAGACATGGGGCTCTATCTGTAGTATCTGTAAAATACAAAATAAATCTAAACATTTGCTTAAAAAAAAACAAATCCAAACAAACACGGTAGCATCTGATTTTTTCACTATCCGAAATCTAAACAAACATCGCCGGCTCCAATCGTAACAAGAACGATCCTATGAGGAAAGATTACATTTTTCCCCGGACTCACCCCATCCATAAGAATCACAACTACCTGTGCAATCAAATCCTAACAAAAACGATCCTATCCGCAAAGATTACATTCACGGACTCTGATCTGTAAGATGAACCCTATATATATATCTAATGGCATGCAACCTAATATAAACGTGTTAGCATCAGAGAAGGGAAGGATTGGGAAGGAAGAAGGGAAGCAGGGGAAACACGTCAGATGACGGAAGGAGGAAGCTTAGTATTGAGTTTTCGTTCTGATATGTTCTATCCCCCTCGGTCTCTCTCTCTGTTCCTATGTATACAGGCCCTTGGCCCTCGGCGTGAATCACACAGGCGCAGCTGTGTCTAGCCTATGATTCACGCCCACTCATGTCCACCGAACCGCACACTGGCGCGTCGGATGCGGCTGCCTTTCCTTGGTTCAGGTTCGGTCTGGTTCATCGAGCCCGTGACGCGTTCAGGTGCTCCTTTGTCCTCCTGGTTGGTGGGTGACTCAGGTTCGGCTTCCTTGGTGATGCTGACATCCCCTCCCTGACGAAGACCTGCTTGTCCCCAAGCAGGAGCGCGAGGAAACCTTTGCCGGAGAGCTTCAGTGTCTTCCCAGGTGGCTAGTGATCATGGCAGATTGGACCATTGCACAAGCACCTGTGGTACGACGTCGTGGTCGGTTGTGTGGATGCGCCTTTGGAGAACCTTCAGTGGTATCTGCAGCCCGTCGAGAGTGTGGGGAAGATCAGCCACCGAATGAGATGTAGGTACTGCCGTCTTGAGCTGGGACACATGGAAAACGGGATGAATAGCTGAATTCTCCGGAAGCTTGAGCTTGTACATGACGTCGCCCACACGTCCGATGACCTGAAACGGGCCAAAGAATTTGAAAGCTAGCTTTTGATTAGCGCACAGCCAAAGAGGTTTGAACATATGGCTGCAACTTGAGGTACACCCAGTGGCGTTCGGAGCGAGATTTGTCAGCTTGTGTCTTCATGCACTGCTGAGCCCGGACGAGGTGTTGCTGAATGAGTGTGTTCGTCATGGATTTTTCCTTCATCCAATCATCTAGAGGAACCGAGGAAACAGAACTGTCTTCAGAGATCCCAAAGTGTTGAGGGTGATGACCATAGAGAACAAAGAATGGTGAATAGTTCAGTGAAGAATGCCATGTGGTGTTGTACCAATACTCAGCCAGAAAAATCCAATCAAGCCACTTAGCTGGACAGGAACTGACAAAGCAACGCAAGAAGGTTTCCATGCATTGACGCTCCGTTTGCCCGTCGGTTTTAGGATGGTAAGCTGAAGACATCCGAAGAGTGACGCCGGCCAAATAGAAAAGCTCTTGCCATAGCTGACTGGTGAAAACCTTGTCTCGGTCCGAAACGATTGACAATGGCAGACCATGGAGGCGGTACACATTGGTGATAAATGTCTTGGC